ACAAATTCACTATAAGTAAGTAATATTAAAGCACAGAAAAGTCGGGGGTGGGGAGAAAGGAACTTATGAGTATTAAAACAACAACTCCAAGCCTTCTGGAAATGAAAAATTTTTCAAAATCAGAACATGTTTCATGCCCGATATATTTCCTTTCTACCTTCTTTAGATTTCTTAAGAGTGTGGGAAAAAACAGACCTAACATCAGACTCAAATAAGACATTTATGAAAATCAGCTTGCAACTGGTGCCTAACTGAAGGAGAAACACATTCTAAGACTACATTTTGCAATTCTTTATCATTATTCAGTAAATAGGCAGTTCATTTGGTTAGGGATGCTATCAGGGGATATTTTAATTTATCCTGAAAAACTCTTCATAAAACCAAATTACAGAAACTTGTCTGCTGTGTTGATGTGCAGAAGAAAGGTATGAGTCAGTATAGTTCATTCTCAGTCCCAAGTTTGAGCAGGTAAGATGCTGAAGACTGTGTAGGTAAATGTCTGTTGAAAGTCTGAATTTCATAAACTGTTGTTCTCAATCTAAAAAAAGATACTTTTTTTAAATTAGAAAAATGTACTTTTATTATTCTTACACTGGTCTTTGTTTCATTGCAAAACTGCTGTAATATCCCTGCACTACAATATCCCTGCATCCCCCTTTGTCTCATTTTCTGCTGCTTGCTTTAAACATATTCTAGAAGTTGCATGCACTTACTTCTCTACAATACATTTTACTTGTGATAGAATCTAGGAACTTGAGAAATGAATTCTTCAGAAAGTTGTCTGTTTAGGAGTAGAGTGAAGAGCCTTTTCCAGCATATGCAAACACCTCAAAAGATGAGGGCAACTGTCAAAGGTAATCCTTCATGCGGTCTCAAAATCTCAACCCTCTTGTATATTTATCTGCAGGTTAGGATTAATGAAAAGGAATTTGAACAGCAGGACATGTCTGGCATAATTCATCTGGGATTTTTTTTTTGGTCGATGATGAAAATGTGTGTATAAAAGCATATTGGAACTGCCTATGAAGTACTACCTTACTCCTAAGCCTTCAAAGAATGTTTTTCAAATATTGATCTTCCACTTCTGTGGCTGTGCAGAAAATATGATTTCAAATTAATGTCTCAGAATATTTAAAATATAAAAGACTAGATCCATTTCTTTTCCTTCCAGAAAGTTTTAAAAAAAAGAAATAAAAATTGTAACATTCTCTCCATTTATATAAGGAAAATATCTGATAACTTTGATGCTCTATTTTTTTTTCCCTATGAATTATAGTGGATCAATTGAATCCTACTCTATAGAGATAGGAACAAAGACACAGGCAGTCCGCTGCTAAACAACCATCCTTCAAATCTTAGGCCTTTAAAAATGTGGATTTCTCACCTGACTAGTCTTCTTAGTCGATTTTCAATTTATATTACGTACTTGAAGAAGTTCTGCCCAGCTCTAAACACTAAGGTCTCAAGCAGCAGAACTAATGAACCCTTGATTACTGTAGATCTACGATCTTCTACTAATAGTCTTCTCTAATTAACCACTACCTGGAGATTTGGTAGAGAAGATATCTTCATGACTACATCATCTTAGTATGCAGTGGGGACCAATAAAAGCAAAATAAGTATTATTAATTAGCAGGAAAGGAATGAAGACTAAAACAAATACTGAAAATAATTCTATCAACCTATGATTTACCCACACCCTAAATAGAGTGTGAAGTTCCTGTCCCTTTATTTCAAGAAGGCTAAAGAAGCACTTGAAAAGGCCCAGACAGCATCAATGCAAATGATGAAAGATGAAAAAGGACTTCTGGCAAAGAATAAGAACGTAAATTAGAATTCTTCAGACTGACAAAAGCAGAACACCAGAAGTCTGTTCAAACTTAAATTATTCTGTCATTCTAAAATGAGATAAAGAAAAATCCCAATGGAGGTAGTAACTTCTACACTTCTTCTGTCCCCAAGATGATCAGTTTTCCTGGAATCTGTAGACACATCAAAACTTTGAAGAATCTGTATTTTACTGCACCTACTTTTCCACATGCCAGTGAAATTTGGGCTTAAGTTTGTGTAAGTATAGTTGACAGAGCTCACAGAAGGACAGAGGAATGGCAGTGTTTAAATGAAGCAGGAAAATAAAAGGTTTTTAAACTTTGATTACAATTTACTCTTGAAATGATAAAAATGTTGAAAAGCCGCTGTCACCCTGGTGAGCCTTTGGAGGGAGAAGCTGTTAGAATCTGACAAATTTCATGCCTGGAACAACACTGTAGTTCATTATATGTGAGTAAATATTTTAAAATTCTCTGCGTGCATTTCTTTTATTACATTTTTAAAAGTCAGCACATCAGTTTGTGTAAGAAGGATGAGAGAACTAGGTTAACTCCGGAATTATTTCCTGCTGGTTAGATTAGCTTAATTCATTTCAGACAGCATGTTTTAGATGCTGATTTTCTTGCCTGGCTAAGAAAGAACGTGAGTTCCATGACTTAAAGACACAGTTAGGTAAATATAATTTTCAACTTATCTCAAAAAACCAATAATCTATTCCCAGGCTTCTTTATATAAAATCTCTTGTCTCCAGTACTTTTCCCTTGAGGCAATGTGGCAGGGTCTCTTTGTCTTGGAAACATTTATTTCTAAAAAATCTGAAGTCATCTAGTTTTCTTTCCAAAATATTTACATCCCTATTTCTTTAACATTTTTCTGTTATCTAAGGTTTTCATGCCCCTTATATTCAAACCATTTAAGCTTCTTATCTCATCATGTGGTGTTCGCTCTTTTCTTTTTAAGAGTTGTTAGTTAACCTACTACTCTGTGTTCATCTGTGGGGACTTTGAAAGGTTAGGAGGTGGTGTTGTTTTTCTCCTTTTGAATGAATCATATTCTCTAAAACCTTCAGGTACCTCATCTCTCTCATTGCCTCTAATTAAGAACTATAATCACCTACTATTGCTACTTGACTGTTTTAAAAATATGCTAGGAAAAAAAAGAAATGTGAAGTCTATTCTTCAAGAACTCTAGAATTTTCAAAATATTCTCAGGGAAAATATTTCATAATTTATTTTTTTAAAACATCCATATAACCCTTCGGATATCAATACAAACTATCAGTACCAAGAGAGGATTTTTTTCCCTACATTACTTATATATAATAAAAAAATATTGTTATTCTTCTACTGTATTTTTTAAATCAAACTTTTCTATTTAAGATTTAGAAGATAAATTTGGCCACAAAGGCAAATCCCACACAATCCAGTTGAGAAAACACAAGTGAACTGGAGTTTAATATGAACTGCTGAAGAAAAACTGTTGAAAACACTAATTCAAATTCATAATATTTATGTGCTGTTAATGACTGGGATAGAGTTAATTTTCATCATAGTAACTATAATGGGGATGTACTATTGTTTTATGCTGGAAACAGCATTGATAATACAGGGATGTTTTCATTAAAAACCAGTCTGGCTCAATCTGGCCACTGCTGTGAAAGATAATAAAATGTGTTTTTATAAATACATTATCAACAAAAGAAGGGCCAAGGAAAATCTCCATCCTTTATTGGATGTGGGGGGAAACGTTGTCACCAAGGATGAGAAAAAGTGCTTAATGCCTTCTTAGCCTCAGTCTTAAAAAAATTATCATCATCGGGGCAACCAGACCCCTGAGCTGGTAGACAAGGATGGGGAGCAGAATAGCCACCCTCTAATCCAGGAGCAAGTAGGTAGTGATCTGATGAGCCACTTAGACACTCACAAGTCTATGGTGTCAGATGGGATTCACATGAGGGTACTGAGGAAGGTGAAGGAATAGCTTGCCAAGCCACTCTTGATCATTTATCATCAGTTTTGGTTAACCAGGGAGGTCTCAGACAACTGGAGGTCGGGCAATGTGATGTCCATCCACAAGAAGGATTAGAAGGAGGATCCAGGGAACGACAAGCCTGTCCATATGACTTTGATACAAGGGAAAGTTATGAAACAGATCATCTTGAGTGAGATCACACGGCTTGTACAGGACAATCAGGGGATGAGGCCCACACAGCATGGGTTTAGGAAAGGGAGATCCTGCTTGACCAACCTGATCTACTTTTATGACCAGGTGACCTGCCTAGTGGATGAGGGAAAGGCTGTGGATGTAGTCTACCTGGAGTTCAGTAAAGCCTTTGATACTGTTTCCCACAGCATTCTCCTGGAGGAGCTGGCCGCCCATGGCTTGGACAGGTGCACTCTCCGCTGGGTGAAAACCTGGCCAGACAGCCAGGCCCAGAGAGTGGTGGTGAATGGCGCCGCACCCTGTTAGTGGGCAGTCACAAGTGGGATTCCCCAAGGCTCAGTGTTGGGGCCAGTCATGTTTAATACATTTATCAATTATCTGTCCCTTACACCATTCCACCAGTGATAAGGCTGGTTATGCACAAGGATCTGAGAGGAGACACAGCTAGGACAGCTGATCCCACCTGATAGAAGGGATATTCAATACCATATGGCATCATCTTCAGAAGAAGGAAGGGGAAACTTTGCATTTGTCTTCGCAAGTAACTGTTAGTTGTGATGGGGCCCTGTTCTTCTGGATATGACTGGACACCTGCCTTCCCATGGGATGAGGTGAATCTATTCCTTGTCTTACTCTGCTTGCGTATGTAGCTTTTACTTTCCCTATTAAACTGCCTTTATCTCAACCCACAAGTTTTCTAGCTTTTACCATTCTGATTCTCTTCTCGATCCCACTGGTGGGGGATTGGCTGAGTACTTGCATGGGGCTTGGTTGCTGGCTGAGGTTAAACCACAACACTTAGTTAGTCATGATTATTTTTATTATTCATTAAATTACATTGAACATATGTGTAATTTTGGACCCCACCAGTTGAGATATTATACTGATAATAAGAAGTTAACTTTTTCTCTTTAACCAGAACTTATCAAAATTAAACAAATTTCAAATCTAAATAGTCCACAGAAGCAAATCAGTTGACAATGTGAACAAGAAAAGAGACGGAGAGATCTTCTCTTGTATTTATTTAAAGTTCATAACCAATTTTTCAAAATACAACAGTCTGACAATATTAAGTCTAGAACTAGCATTAAATTTTACATAAAAATTATCTCTGGGGGAGAACAAAAACTCTAATTCTTCCTATCTAGGGTTAAATAATTAGACAAATAACTCCCTCCTATGGGCATGCCAGGAACATGCATATAGATATATAAAAACATACATAGGATTTACTCATCTTTCAGAACTTTTAACTTCAAATTCATATTCAATGTGAAACAATATAAATTGGCTTGTACAGGTTCAGTATTTTTGTTTTTACTGCCCTTTTTCAACACACTTCAAAGTAAACTAACTTTGCCATTAAAACAGAAGTTAGATGGAAACGATACTTATGCTATCACAAGGAGTAAAGTTAAACAGAAAAAACAATACTGTTCTTATTTCACATGCTCTCTGGATTATTTAACACCCACAAAATAAAACCAAGTTGGAATAAAAACAACTAAAAACAATGTATTCCCTCTTTACAGGTTGCCACTCTTTACCAGGACAAGCAATAGATTTTTAAGTGCTAATAAATTGAAAGGGAACACTTATTCTTTGTTGACTAATGGAAACAAGTATTGGATGGGACATTAAATGAAAGGCCTACCAGATCCTTTGATTTATCATTCATTGAAGAAACATAGTTCTTTGTTATTCTTCTGACACAAACGGCTGAAGGTGATTGAAATCAGTCTGGTTTAGAATCCTCATCATGAAATTCAGCCTGCATTTAAGGAGTAATTGAATGGTTCCTTTATTAAAATTATATCTGGCTACTTAACTATTTGGCTTATGTGAGCTCATTCAGACAAATCATAACTAGCAAAATTGATTTTCTCTCCAAGTTTTCAAACCCAAATAAATACAATTTTCTCTAATGCAGATTTTTTTGTAAGAGAAATGCCAATAATTTGCACCTCAGTGTACACAGGACATCAGTGAAACAATCAGTGAGGCATTTCACACACTGCATGTCTCTCAACAAAATACGTATTTTCCTCTTTCTTTGAGTAATAGAATCATTAGCAAAGAAAGTCATGGGAGCGAAGAAAAATATTTGAAACATTAAGTTATTTTTAGGGCCCTGAGCAGACTATCAAACTGCAACCTTAATCCACCTGGGCTATGGCTGCTTGTGCTCAAGGCCAGCTTTGCTAATGGTGCAGCTGGGCCACCATGAATCATACTGCTGAGAGAAATCACTGTGAGGAAGCTGAGTTGGGCACCTTTGTCCTATGCCTTGGGTGCCAAGCACTTTCCCTTGGCCCTGGCTGGAGCTCTGCTTATCTTTATACCTAAGGAAAAAATACATTCTATGGAGATGTTTGTCTCATTTGTCCACCTAGCAAAATATTTAAAAACAAGCTCCTAAACCAATACACAATCTACCAACAGAGTTCACTTAGTCAGACTGTACTGCAAACAGCATATTAGTTAATGCAGACCTAAAAACTTTCATAATTCAGGCAAAAAAATCAGTTAAAATTTAAAGTGAGTCTATTCTGAGATTCATATAACTCTTTCATTTTTAATTCAATTCATGTGACTTCTTAAGATCTAAATTCCACTTTTTTCTAGTATTAAAATTAGTGAGATGGCTCAAAGAACCACATTAAACTGCTCTTTCCATAAGAAGAGGTACCAAATCAGTCCAATTTCTTGTGAAATTATTTAACAGTAAGCAGAGTCCCAGATGAAAAACTAGCTTTTTTTTTAAACTTTCAATTTAACAAGAACTTTTGTGACTGAAAAATTTTCCCATGATGGATTAACCCTTGTCAGAAACTCTCTTATGTTTATAAGATACTATTACTGAAAAAATAGATAGACCAGTTGTTGCTTGAACTCCATAATTTGATTCTATCAAAGCAGGTAATTGACTTCCTAAATTAAATCAATAAACAATTAAGATCCTTTTCAGTGGTGTACCCAACAAGAAATCTATGCCAAAGTGTAACCATATGGAAATCAATCGAGCTCCTCTTTTTTTTTTTTTTTTGATTATCATATCTTCCTGAATTTAGTTGACATGCAGATTTGAACCTTAAACTGCTTAGGAATTCCAAAAAATTGAATTATTATGTTAGTAGATTTGCAGTTGTATACTATTTTTTTCCAGGTAACATGAGTTTTCTTTCATTTGTAATTTTTAAAAAATATTGAAATTTAGAAAAGAAAGCATCACAGCTCTTTATAACTTAAACCAGAATAAATATGGCAACTTCTGCTTCTTTTTGTTTGTTTATTTTCAGTCCTGTCTTAAACAACACAGGAGTTTTAAAATTTAATAAAAATATTTTACTCTCAGGAAACATCCACCCCCCACCTTTTATCTAACAAATCTCAATATCTTACAATTTCAAGCATTACATTACTGAGTTCTTCACTCTTTTTTACTGTCTTATTATGAAGCAGAGTGAGTACTTCTGTCTTCTTTAAAAAATTGCAGTCTTACATCTAATGTGTTCTAACTGCTTTATTCAGAAAATTTTTGATGTCTTAAGTAACTCTAAGTATGTTCTCACTTTTGATAATAACTGTAAATCCCTATTTCTGATTGATCATGATCAGAGCAAAATTTTTAAGTTGCACATAGGAATTCAGTAATGAATGTCTGATGAGAATTAGTAGTATTGAAAATGTTTTGAAATCTCCAATATTGAATTTGATTTAGGTAGAAGTTTCAATGGTCCTTTGTAAGAATTAGCAGTTTTGTATTTCGATATGTTCTTGGCAGTCTAGAAATATCTTATTTAAATGAAAGTAATTTATTCTTTTTTTACTTCATTTTAAGTAGGCAAATGATGATCATTTCAAGCACTTGTTAAAATTTCTTACAAAAAAACTTAAGCATTTGTATCAAACCAAGCTTGTGGATGTTTTCCTTGACTACAGATTTCAATAATAAGTGTATGCTTAAACATTCCGGTGAATCAGGACTGAATTTTTGTTAAAAATTTGACACAGGTATGAACCTTGGAAGAAAATATCATATCATAATCCAACAACTGACTGAATGTAGTAGTGGACATGAGTGATTTTCAGAAGAACTTTTAGCTCCTCTTATTTTACTTGAAACTGTGTGTTCCCTAACCCTCTGAAAAATCAGGTAATACTAGGGGATGAAATTATTTCTACTGGATAATACTACATCAAATACTTAATAAAAAATAATTTCTCAGAGGTCAAGATTGGGACCGGTGCTGTTTAACATCTATGTTGGCAACACAGACAGTGTGATCGAGTGCACCCTCAGCAAGTTTTCTGGTGACACCGAGCTGTGTGGTGAGTTTGATACACTGGATGGAAGGGATGCCATCCAGAAGGACCTTGATAGGCTTGGGTTGTGGACCTGTATGAACCCAATGAATTTCAACAAGGCCAAGTGCAAGGTCCAGCATCTGATTTGGGGAAATCCGAAGCGCAAATACAGGCTGGGTAAAGAATGGACTGAGAGCAGTCCTGCCAAGAAGGACTTGGTGGTGTGGGCTGATGAGAAGCTCAATGTGACATGGTATTGTGCTCTTGCAGCCCAGAAGGCCAACTGTATCCTGGGCTGCTTCAAAAGCAGAATGGCCAGCAGGTCAAGGAAGGTGATTCTCCATGTCTATTCTGCTCTCATGAGATCTCACATCTACTGTAGACAGCCCTGGGATCCCCACCATAAGAAGCATGTGGACCTGCTGGAGCGAGTGCAGAGAAGCTCAATGAAGATGATTGGAGGAATGGAGCACCTCTTCTATGAGGAAAAGTTGAGACAGTTGGTGTTGCTCAGCCTGGAGAAGAGAAAGCTCTGTGGAGACCTTACAGCACCTTTCAGTACCTAAAGGGTGACCTACAGGAGAACTGGAATTTTTACAAGGGCATGTCGTGATGGGACAAGGGTTAATGTCTTTAAAGACAGTAGGTTTAGATTAGATATAAGGAAGAAATTGTTTCTGTGAGGGTGGTGAGGCACTGGAACAGGTTGCCCAGAAAAGTTGTGGATGCCCCATTCCTGGCAGTGTTCAAGGCCAGGTTAAATGGGGCTTCAAACAACCTGGTGTAGCAGAAGGTGTCTCTGCCCATGGTGGTGGAGGGTTAGGACTGGACAGTCTTTAATGTCCTTTTCAATCATTCCGTGATCCTATGAAATGATATGTACAAAAAAAGATGTGATTATTTTAAAGCATCCCAAAATTTCTTCTCACAGTAATGTGAAGAACTTTTTCTAGAATGATTTTAAAGTGATATTTAAGAGAAGGAAGAAGGGTGAATTCCCTCTCTGAGGGAGGTAGGTATAGCCATATCGCTAGCCAGATACACAAACACTAGCAGTTCTCAAGCAAATCTCTCAAATGGCCACTAGTATAGTTTCGTGCTTGAACAGTTCGGCAAAGTAAAAAAGCAAGTACTGTGACCTTCCTGTCATTTTTGCATGGAGGATAATTTCTGCTGAATATGGCTGAAAATAGTCAGGGTACAAAAATGTAGAGCATAGGTATCTGATCTCATTTCATCATGATGGTACAAGTAGCGAATCGTATGAAGATTACACTTTGATTTTAATTTAAATGGATTTTACTGGTAAATTGGATTTTGTCATGCTTCATAAGAATATATTTCATAAAGCGAGCTGAATTGCCTACCTTTACAAATTGATATGGATCAGAAGAGAAACTTCATTTCATGCAACCTTTGAAATACCCATACAGAAATGTAAAATTTACTCTTGCAAGTCATCTGTGGTCTAATGCATTAAGAATTATTTTTATTTAACCAGATGCAAAAGTTTGCTTTATATTTACCATATTTTGTTTTATTTCCGTCTCCAGTATCAGGCAGTACTTTAAATATAATTTCTTTACATTTCTAAAAATATTAGCATTAATTTTTTAATTCCACACATTCTACATATGCCTCAATTTCCTGCTTTAATCCTATGCCTCATTTGATCTAAAGTTTTTCAAAGTAATTTGAATTATCTCTTCACTCATGGGATACTTTTTAAAAAACGTAACTTGGCTTTTCTGGAAATTTCAACAAAGCAGAATATGCTTGCTTCATTCTACACTTCTCATAGGATTCTGCATATGGTTTTCTGCATTGCTTCACTCACACCATAAAACTTACATTTTATGGTATGTAAGTAAACATATTCTAAAATTATACAGCCACTTAAGTCTATTCATTACATAAGAATAAAACATAGATAAGAACACCTAAAGAAGTATTTTTGTTTCACAGAACCACAGAATATGCTGAGTTGGAAGGGACCCACAAGGACCATTGAGTCCAACTCCTGGCCTAGCAGAGGACCATCCCCAAGAGTCACACCATGTGCCTGGGAGTATAGTCCAAACACTTGAACTCTGTCAGGCTTGGTGCTGTGACAACTTCCCTAGGGAGCCTGTTTCAGTGCCCAACCACCCTCTGGGTGAAAAAGCTTTTCCTGATACCCAACCTAAACTTCCCCTGGCACAACTTCATGTCATTTTTGCTTAAATAAGTATTTTCTTATAACCTAGGGAATACTATTTGTGTTTAAGTTCTCCATAGTATTAATATATTTTAGTATATTTTACTGTTTTATACTATATTTAGTCAGTATATTAATATTTCATGTTATTAACAATACATTAACATATCTACTTGTAAATCATTTACTGACAAAAGTATGATAATACTCTCACATATGTTAGTCTAAAACTATACATCTAGAAAATATCAAACAAAAATATGCTTCAAAAAGCCTAAACTTCAATGTTGTCCAGGTATATTTTAAAAAAAACTACAAAACCACAAAACCCAGATATTACAGGTAGTTACTTAGTTACTCCTATTGGTAAGGAAAAAAAAATACTGACAATCATTTGATATACTAAAAAGATTATCTTTTATACATTAACTGATATGTCTTAAAATATATCTATTGTGTCAGTTAGTCACTAAATATCCTGGTCCTGTAATATGATGTAATGAGGTATCTGCAAGGAGAGTGAGATGTTGATGATGGTAAAGGTCAGTTCCAAGCTGAGGCCAGATCTCATTCTTGCCAAGATCACAGGCAGAGCCAGAGTAGAGTTTGGGATCAATTCGGGGTTTGGTGATCCACAAAGCTTTCAAATTCAGGCAGATGGCTGGGTGGAGGTAATTGTAAAAGCTACATGTGTTTGGGTGGTTTTACCTACGTATTTTTCAACATGTTTTTCTGTAATAGATAGTCATGTTTTAGCTGTGTTCACGTACTCTAACCCAAAATTGCTTTTTCTCTTGCCCCACACCAGATAACCAAAGCATTTTAGAAAGGTCAAATTGTACAAACAAAGCAGTCAAACAAATAATGAATTTTTGCTCACAAACCTAAGGTGTATTTTTCTGACATCAAGCCTGTCCTACATTAATAAGGGTCTTGTAACATTGCTATGGAGTAAAGTAGTGTATCTTATGTGAAGAAATTTTAATAAATGTCAGTCAGTTTTATCTGATTATTGTATCTGTTTTCAAGGAGATTAAACTTAATATTTACTTTCTTTTAAAGAGAAAAATGAAAATGTATTCTTCTTTCAGAGACCACACACAGCTACATTTGTGGTCAACAAAAATATTGTGAGTGTTGTTGCCTAGCAACCTTCGTGTCAGGAAAATTATATTCCTGAGCTCGGTTTACACTGTAATATATGATTCTAGGATACCTATAAAATGTTAAAATTGACAACATTGCTTCTATAAAATTAATTCAGCATCCTATAACATATAGATGACAATTTTGATTCTTACTAAGAGTATTATTTCTTTACTGAAAAAAGGCAAGACATGTAAATACTAATTAGTGTACAAAAAAATGTAAATAATCACATCATTAGTCACTAGGGAAAATACACTCAAGTCCATCATTAACATTGAGTTCTTATTCATTCCAAAAATTTTGCCATGGTGTTTGAGATTTTTTTAAATTAATGACAAGTACTGCTGTCTTAAAGAAAGACCTTATTTTATCAAAGTATAAGTATATGAGCATGTGGGGGAAAAAAGTATATATCTCAGTAATGTTAATGTTATTTATTGGATGAATGTGCCTCATTGTGCCTGAGTAGAAATTATCCTACTCAGCTTCATACATTCATAGGATGGCTCCACTAGAAGGTTGATTATGCTCACTCTGTGTGAAGGCTTGTTTAATCTTCTATTTCATTTCAGATAAAAATAATTAGGATAGAAACTGTCTATGTTTTGAAGAATCTTGGTACAGAGACTAGCACAAAAGTTGACTTTGTCCTCAAGTATAATCAACATTTAAAGACCCCTTAAGCAAGTTGAACACTGCAATGAATATCCTACTCAACACAAATCAACAATACTCAAGCAATGCTTTCTATTTATCACATTATTCTATAATAATTAAAAAACATATAACTACCAAAACACTTTCTCTATTACTAAAGGTCATGTCAATTGAGGTTTAAAACAGATCTATAAAATACTTAGTGTAGTGCTCTCTGTGAGAGAATATTTTGAATTGAACCTACAACTGCTTTGTGCATGAGAAACCATTAAGTAATAATAATAATTATTCTGAAAATTTATCTGAATTATATTTCTTTCTACGTAACAGGCTTACAAAACACATTTTGTGGTCACATTAGAATGAAGATATTTGGATTGCATTTGGTAAATATTTAAAGTCTTCGTAGTTAAACTAATAATTTACATATGCAAAGCTAGATGAAATTTGTCACTTCCTCTGAATCACTTTGTCATCCCTTTATAGAGATTTAATGAGACAAGTAATATGACCTTAGACTTGCTAAATAGATCAGTGTAGCAACAAGATAGTTATTCTGGCTAACACCAAGAGCTGTTTTGTGATTTGTCAGAAAGGAATCAGTGTTTCTTTTATGACTAGTTGTAGCTAAAGAACAGAAGGAGATAGACTTTACATTTTTCTATTTACTTTCTGTAAATCCAGTTGAACATCAGTATTTAATGCCACATTTTCTACATTTATAAAACCATATCATAGCCAAAGCTATGAAATAATCTCTATTTTAATTTTCTTCTTTTGATAGCATCACTCCTTTCTAATAGCATTAACTGAGACCCCACTTAGCTCAGCTATTTAAAATATAGGAACTGCTATAATCAAATCCATTTAGATTCCTCTATAATCTAGGCATAAACCTTTAAAAAAGAATCATTTAACATAGCTTTTCCTACTTTAGATTGTTCTTTTAAGCTGCAATAAGTCATTGCATGCCTGTGTATTTCCCCTGGCTATAAAGAGAACAAAGAAGACTTGCTCAAACTAGGTACAACAAAATGTCTTATCTCAGGTAGGAATTACAATTATTCTACAACTTTGTTACATATGCAAGCAAGGATTATAAGCAATAAATATTTTAATTAGTATGTATGACTGAAAATAAATTTATTTTATTAATTAGTGAGAAGTAATTGGCATTTATTAACTTGCCTATCTTATACAAATTTCTTTCAATTCTCATTTTCCCCATCAAACCCATCTCCTTGGGTAATTTTTCATTTGAAAAAATAATATATTTTTCATCCAGAGCCTCTCATTTCCATTGGTGGAACTCTAATTGGTGCTTCTAAGAAATATCTGATATTCTGGTCTCTCTGTAGCTGATGTTGAAATAACAAACAGACAGAGGCACTGCGTCTTGTAAAAACAAAATCTGATGGTAGGAAGTAGGAACACCAGAAAACAAATTTCAGAACATTAAAACTTAAGGGGAATGGGCTCAGATGTCTGACCAGGCTCGACTAACCATTCTAGGACTGCCAGACCTGCCAAGAAGATCCTGGGCAGATTCAGTTGCTAACCATTCCTAAAATGGTCAGGGATTTTCAGTAGCTACTTCTTTTTAGTCTCTGAAGAGTCTCTTTACAGATTTCTCTACAGATTTCTGATAAGCTTTAGGTCTTAGATGATACCTCACGCAGATGATAAAAGCAGGAGGAAACTCTATTTTTTAATAATATGTACAGATGTTACCTGTTTCTTAAATTTTGAAAATCCACCACAGCCAAGAGTTAAATTCAACTTAGACACGGTTCGGGATCCATTCCATCTCACTGAATTCTTGCTACACTGAAAACCAAGAAGGTAAACTTGTGCTTAATAAACAAATTATAAGATGTAGAAGAAAATAATTTAATTTTTTAAAATTATTTTAATTTTTTAATTTGGTGGGGAATTGGAGTTTTTTTTAGATGGGATTTTTAGGGGTTTCATTTTTTTTTTAAGAAAGGATGAAAGATATCATGTCACCCGATAACAAAATCAGAGAAATAAAATTATTCACTGCAGCTCCCTGCCATCCTTTGAGATAAAACATACAGAGGGAATTCTCTCCATTTTCCAAAATACAAGTTCAGTTTCAAAAGCTTGCCCATCATCAGGGAAGAGTTGTTCCCAATGACTGTAAATAACCCTTCCTTCTTGGCAGTTCTGCTGCTGCAGTAATAGTGCCAGAAGATATAGGCCTCAAGGTATCTACAGTACAGAACCAGTGAAATGTTTCACTGTGAATAATGTATTTTGGCAGATGCTTGATCTTATCTTTTAAGAGTAAAACTGAAACTAGACTTCCACAGAGTTCAGACATTTCGTCTTTTTGAAAAGGTTCCTTTGACAAGGTAATAGATACCTAACTATCCTCTGTCTCCTTTTCTCTTACTACATCAAGATATTAAGCTGTACAGTTTTGACGAGCATGCCATTCCTTTAAAATATCACAAAAAATATTTCAAAATGTCTATTAAAATAGACTGTCTGCAAATGTTACCTCTGTATTTTTGAGATCTCAGCTAGCTGTTCCATCAGGTTCTGTTTTTTATTTTGCAGCTGAAGAATCCCACTGATGCCTGAATCCAGGAGCAACACCTGAATCAATTAAGTATTCAGTATGTACAAGACCGGAAGAGGTCATTGGAATTTGAATACATTCAACACACAATCTGATATTCTCTTCATTAGCAAAAATAGCAATCACAGGAAAACATATCTGAAGTAAAAAAAAATGGAAAAAGCACAGACAGTACCTAGGAGGAAAAAAGGGAGATATTTGTAGAGATGTGCATGTTAACTGTATGGGGAAAGAAGAAAGAAATGAAGAAACACAACCAAAGAAAGATATTGGAGGGAGAAAAGGTTAAAAGGAAAAGTAGCTAGAGGTAGTTTAAATTGGAAAAAAGAATAATTTTTTATTAAACATGAAAATAAGAATAGATAGAGGAAACTAATACACATTTAGCAGTACCAAAACTTTGTAAAAGGAATAAACATAAATGGTTATAGACAACAAGTCATTTGTAATGAGAGGTGTTTAGGAAAGAGAAGGAAAAATAAATACTGTAAAAAAAAAAAAAAAAAAGAAAAAAAAAGAAAAAAAAAGGGAAGACGGTACCAAAAAGTTAAAATAAAATCCAGACTGGTGAAATAATTTTTAAAAATATAAACTAGTAATAACTTGAGATTCTTATTTTAGGGGTTTTTTTCTGTAGTTTTATGTTTTGTCTAAAAAGAAGTACTTTTTCAAAAATATCCCACTAATTTATGGTGTTTCTGGATCTTTACGGTGTTTCTGGATCTGAATTCTGTTTGGAGTTGTGAAGTAATTTGAAAAGATTTGAGGAAATAGGAAAAAAACCACAGCAGTAACTCTTATGAGACCAATTTAATATCTTGCAAATAAAAGGAGGAGGATATATGTCTAATCTTTTTGTTTATATACTTAAACTTTAAAGCTTTAGTTCATTTAAGTACCATTTTTTCCTTTCTTATTTCTGCTCCTTTCTTCTGTAAATTATAATATATAGTGCCATATTATTTTATGGTCAATTTAATTTCTCATCAATTTAATATCTAGAAACAATATTAAATTTCTGTAAGAGGACTCTAGGTTAAAAATCCAATATTTAGGTATCAAGATTTTAGCTATCTGTCTCTGAATCAACTGTTTAGTCTCATGCCACAGTAGGTGGAGTTGTAGATAGGTATTTCAACAAAACCAAATGAAGTGTTCATTAGATATTTTGGTGCTTGTCTTCTTGAGTAACACTGGCCCGTGCTAAGGCTAGGATTTCCAGAAAATGGCTAGACATCTACCTGCCAGTGGGAAGGAGGGAGGAAATTCCTATTTTGCTTTGCTTTTGCACGCACAACTTTGCTTTACCTATCAAACTGTCTTTATCTCAACCCACAAGTTTTCAGCTTTCCCCTTTCTTATTCTCCCCTCCATCCTGCTGGGGCAGAAGTGAACGAGTGGGTGGGTGCTTAGGTGCTGGCTGGGGTCAACCCATCAGAATAAACAACTTAATAGAGCCTTTGGTTCATATTTTATATAATATTCTTTACTTTCAGGAGTTACAAAGGACTTTCTACATAGAAACTCTTACCTTATTCAGTTTTGGAACAGTTAATTCAAGAACTCCAAAGGCTCAACTGATTTTCTGAGGATTGCAATTTCCCCCTATTTCACTTTCACTCCCTCCTATTGAATATTCAGCTTCATGATTGCTATACAGTGCTGAACAGTAGAAAATCAAGTTACATGAAACACATCACACTTATTTTTACACAGTCTTAATAGTGTTATTTCATGATCTGATCACTGCAAACAGTGTATAGGCTGGGCAAAAGCATAAGTCTTATGGGCAGAAAGGAATGCCTAATTCAGCACTTATTTATAGGAGTAAATGATTGCTTTCCCTATGAACATTGAACACTTAGTCTGATTATGAACTTAATATTTGACAGCCTGCATGATCTGTAAGTCAATAGGTGCAGCAGTACTTTCTGGAGAGATTATACATTGAAATGGAATGGGCACGGGGAGAAACTCTGGAGGGAAAGATAATTGCATGAAACTAAGAGGTAAAATCACAGTCACTGAAATACAGCTAATTGAATATTTCTAACTTTTAAAATATACTTGGGGCATAAAATTACTAACACTGGAAAATTAAACTGACTTCTAGGAAGGTTAGAGTAGGAAATTTTGTTCTCAATTGCTTTAGTCAATTATTCTATTCATTGATGCAAATCAATTAACTTTAGAATTGCATTGACATAAATGAGGCCAAGTAGATTCAGTCATTCTGAGAAATACCTTTCTTTAAAACAAAACTTATTTTTGATTTACCTTTTTTTTAGTAAAAAGCTGAATCTACAGAAAAAAATAATTTAATTAATGTAGGAAACTGAAATAGGTAAGAAAAGAAAATTTTTTACCATTTAGACTACTTTGCATATTCTATTATATATTTTAATTACATTATACATAAATTAAATTTCATCTAAATTAAATTTCATATAAAGTATATCTGTTACTTGTATATATATATTTTGTATATTTATACATAGAAAACCTTATGTACACATATACAATCAACTTACATTTTGTACATTTAAAACACACAAATATTAGGTATTTTTTAATGGAAAAATAACTGATACATAAAGAAAATCTATTTTTGCTATGGAAGTTAAGAATTATCCTGTGTTTTACAAAAAATATAAAAAAATCAAATACTGTAAAATCTAGGGTTTTTAAATAAAATATATCAATGTGCGTTTTATGATAGGAAACTATCTTGATGGAAGTGTTCAAAACACTTGGACATGTACCTTTATTCCAATTGTAAATAAGAGAAATATATCCTTAATCTAATATTTTGCCCCCTTAAAGAGGTAATTCTTCTGGGCTTCAGACAAGAACGATGAAATTTTAATCCCCATTCTTTCCTTTTTCCTTTAAAAATTCTGGAGGGGAGGTGGGGTAAGCTTTTTAAAACAATATGAAGTTAAAATTCAGTTCATTAAAATACAACAGTAGGGCATTTGCTGAGTATCAGAAGCATTTTTCCATACAAATGAACCAAAGTAGAACTTACACTGTGGAGCTAATCGTTAAGAATTCTAATCATCTGAAATTCCTCAATCCATGGGTGCTGATCTGATGACTCCATAATTCAGTACATAAGAATAGAATTACATTAGAATTTAAAAAGAGTAGTCTTCTTGGTCACAGAGGGCCAGTTTTAGGCCTTCATGAATAATGCATAGACAGAGAAGGAAAGAGATTTCATTCAAAGTTCTAACCTGAACAATTATAGAAGAGTTTTGGAATAAAATGAGTTGCTTTGATTCTATTCAGCTTTAAAGCTTTCACAATCAGCACATTCTAAATTTAGCACCAATGTATGAATAAGCTGTACTAGATAATTGATTTTCACCAGATGGCATTGTTCCTATACAGATATAATGTGGTATTACTTCAATTAAATTAGATTAACTAAAGATTTCTCCCTAGATTATTTTCTGTTGGGTTGCCACAAAATATAACTAGTTATGTAAATTATTAGCTGTGCAAAACACTACTCTCATTCCTGGAAACTGATTCTGTAGTATCTTGTTACTTCTGCTTTCCCCTTGAATTTCAATGAAACTAAAGTTATCCATACTTGATTGGATTGAGAAAGTTAGGGATTCTTAGAAGCATTATTCCCCCAGTTTTCCGTATAAATGTACAACTCTGAATCACATAACATCATATTGAGAATTTAGAAAGAGGCATGCTGGCTTGATCTAGAAAGGAAGAACAAGGAGAGTGAGAGCATAAAAAACCACAGGGACAGCAGTATGTGAACAGTTCATAAAACATGGCCCTACCTTTTCAGGAAGTGTCTCTTTAGGAAAGTCACTGCAGTGGAAGCTTCTGAAACCACTTTGATACCTTGTCTTTCCATCATCTTTTACCTTTTAAAGGGGTCTATGAGATTATTTTGAAGAAAATGACCTATATGTTTATTAATCCAAATATTCCCCTTATTTTGAACACTGACCAGAAAAGTGCATTAGTTTTAATCATATTTTATCTCTTCTCATAAAGCTGCTTTAGCTTCTGAAAATATATCCAAAATTTAGTAACCTCTTTTTGAAAGAGCAACAACATTCAAATTAAGCCAATCTTTTCATGGATGATTAGGGAATTAAAGGAACAAGGGAGTAAAAAAACTGGAGAAAAAAAAAAAAAGAAAGAACCTAGAAGTGTCAGTTTAAAGGCATAATAATTTATTCCTTCCATAGAAAGAAATCTATTTGCAAATCTAATATGAGGCAACACATCTCTGAGAGACTGAAAAAAGTTATTAAAGTTATAAATGGCTCAAAATAACCGGGGGGGAGGGGGGGGGGAGCAGTGCAGGGTAAACTCTGCCAAGGCAGGACAGTGCACTGCCTTGTCACCCCATCCCAGTCCCTGGAGCTTTTAGTCCAGCCCAGAACGGTTATTAGCCAATTAGCACCCCTGAAGCCCCCACCACATCCCCTGGAGCCCCTAATCAGATCCCGACTGGCTCGCAGACTGGAAATCCCACCGGGGGGGCATGACCATGGGGTCCAGAGCAAATATAACCAACACCATGAGGCCACTGCACGGTTCATGGATTTCGTTATATTTTTCAGGTCTGCACACACATCCATACAAAATCTCCTGCCATCAGTAAGAAATATGTCTGAGAGAGAGCCCAACCTTTTTGAAAGAAAAAAAAGAACATTTGTTTTTTTCATTCAATGCATCACTATAATATTTTCTGTTACTTTGCTTTCAGACCAAAATCCCATTACATACATCCTGTGCTTAATGCATTTTTTATAACAAAATTCTACATTACAAGGATAATATAATAAAAGTGATATTGATTATAATCTTTGTCTTGACATTGTCTGTACTTTTGATTTTAGTTACAATTACCTAATTTTCTTTCATTTTATTTGTAATTCTGGTTCCATTCACCCTTTGTGGCTACTGCAATTTTTCTTTGTGCCATTCTACTGTACCCTTCATCTGCATTTCTCTAGTCTCATCACTGTCTGAATTTTATGTTCTTTTGA